TTTTTGCAGTTTTTGTCCAGGGCCAGGTTTGAACCCACCACCTCCTGTATATGGGGCCAGTGCCCTACTCCTTTGAGCCACAGGCACTGCCTGGAACTCAGAATTCTTTTACTTAGCCCTGCCAACAGGACTAGGAGTTGGATACAAACTGACTCCTTTTGATTTAGTTCAGTGGAAACAAAACACACCTTACTTCAGCACAACTTGCTGTTTGGAGGTCAAAGTACAGAGATGAGTGTGCTCATCAAGCTACTGAAAACCTGAATGATGACGTTTCTATCGCCAGGGACATGCTGTGGGAGAAGGCCAGTGTGCACAGCCCCACCAACAGGCACGCCTAGACTGCTCTGCATTCAGCAGTGCACCCAGACAGTGTTATGAGCTGAGCATGGTGTAAATTACCAGATACCCACTCTTCTTGTAGCTGGTCTACTTCCATTTGGCTAGGGGGGCAGGTATGATAAATTCGTAGATGGCTTCAGCCAGCCCTCTCTAAACAAGTGAACAATGCCACTGCAGTGACGCACTTCTCCCACAATTTGCCAACTTCAAGTTGGAAAAATTATAAAACTAACTGGGCAATTATATCCAGCAGTTTTAATTTATCATTATGTGCATGACATTCTTCTAGCAACAAATCAAAAAGCCATTCTTCATAACTCCTGTGTGAGAGGTGGTTCCAAGATATGAACAAAAGGAAAGGGAGTCCTGGTTCTGTGTGGGCAACATGGCCGTTTATTCACTCAAATGCGAGTGGGCTGAGCTAGAAGAAGTCAGTGTGAGGGGCAAGGTGGGATGGGACTGTAAGGGTCAGGGGTTCCGGGGCTGGTGCACTTATTCCTTTCTGGACAGGACTTAAGCACTCAGCCCTGTTTGCTGAGCCTTTGGGTTTGGTTCTATTTTGGGAGGCCTTTGCACTCAGCCCTATCATGCTGGTCTTTATAGTCTATCATAAGGATGTGGGGTGATGAGCATGGTGTTTCTTTGACTGCTTCTTGCGAGTTGAGGGTCAACATGGGCTGCCTATAAAGGAAAAAAAGGGAGGGGGTTGGGGGTGGTGTTTATAGGAATGTTCCCAGGTCTTCAGTCTGAACTGGTTGATATTCACGTAGGGTGAGGACATAAGCAGTTGTTTCTTGGATGACTGCCTGGTCAATAAATGGGGAGATGAGGCAGAGGACGACTGGTCTGAAACTGAGAATGAGAAAGATCATAATTAGTGGCCCTAAAATAGGAAGTAACCAAGGAGGCCAGGGATCGAATAAGGACCAGGAATGAGAATGGGTGAATGATGGGAGGCTATGGAGGGAAGAGAAGTATCCCACACGAGGGGCCTACGAGGAGGTTGAATGGAGAGAATGCAGGGGTTAGAAGGGAGTAAGATGGGTAGTGAGAGGTGGGAGCCAGTGGGAATCGTCAGGGTTGCTTGTAATTTTGAGAGGATGTCTCTACCTAGTAGGGAGATGCTGCATGAAGGAATGATAAGGAACGAATGTGACAAAGAGTGTCCGGGGAGGTCACCAGCTGTCCCTGCTGGACCTCTAGTCCCCCCCCCCCAAGTGATCTAGCCCTGGGGCAGGGCATCCCCCATGCACTAGGCACTAGATGGGTGAGTCTGACTCTCCGAGGTTAGTCCGTGACTGGTGCTAGATTTAGGAAGGATGGACTATGGGAATTTTTGGCCCAGAAATGGAGGAAGAGGGAGAGAGGAGTTGGAGTGAAGAAAGGAAAGAG